ATGAACGTTTATAAGAAAATTCAAATCTTTTAGTTTTTACCGAACTTTTTGTTTTTTCACTAATTTTGTAGCATTACAGGCTCTTTCCAGTATAAAGACTACAAAAGCAGAAAACAACTATTTTTTAAAATCATTAAAGTTTAAATTCTACTTTTTCAATTAAATTTTTAAACTCTGGTCACAAAAGCTATTGGATTACTAACATTTCAAATCATATCTTAACGTCTTTAACAAAAATTTTAATATTTTTAACATCAGTAATAAAATTACAATAACCAAATTATAAAGTCTAGCTATTTTTGAAAAGTGTTTTAATTATTTTGTCCTAAAAAAACCTTAATGCTTTTTCTTTGGAGTTATCCAGAATATATTTAAAGTACGTCTAAAATATGCACCAAAACCTCTGAACTCCTAATTATTAAACACCTGTCCTAAATTTTAACTTCCAATTAAAATTTAAAGAAGCATTAAAACAGTCGATATATTATTTTTCTTTCTATTTCATTAAAATTTCAAAACAGAAAAAAAAAACTTTGAAAAAAAGGGTTCATTTAATCTATTAAAAAATCTGAATCAAAGGAACATTAAGGTTATCTAAAAAACAAACGAGTATTTTTTAAACATATCTGTAGTTTGTGGATTGTCTAATAGCATTTTTAACATTAACGTAAAAAATATCTCAAAGCTGATGTTAAAGACTTTTTAATTAGGTTTTGATTTGAAACATTAGTAATATGGTAGTTTATTTAAAACAAAAAATTGAAAATTTTACATCAATTTTAAACTTAAATTTATTACTTTTCAAAAAATATAAGGAGTTAGAAACTAACTTCACTAGAATTGGTAGAGTAATGGACATCGGGATCATGAGACTGGGATAGTTGGAATAATTAAAAATAGTAATAATTACAGACAGAAATTTCAATCAGTTGATTATTTTCACGAGTCGTGACACTAACTGATTAAACTGAATTAACTGAAAATAATGATAATTAGATAGTTGGAAAAAATCAAAAACAGTAACAATTGGAAACTAATTTTGATTGGTCAATAATTTTTGTGACGGTAATTGTTTTCATCATACTTTCAATTAATCGTTTATTTAACGTGATTTATAAGTAATATACCAATTAATCACTCAACTCTAAACAGCACATTATTACACTTTACTAAAAGTTTATGTTCATAGCTGGTATTAATATGATGATATTTACCTTCAAATAATCCATCTAAAACACCAACCTAAAAATATAAAAAAAGGCTTAGATAACAGTGCCAAATATGCTACTAATTTAGTCCTAAGCTTCAATTTGAGCAATTTTTTGACAAGTAAATGAAATAAAAACAGAGTTGGGAAAGTCTAGGTCTGTACTGATAATGTACACTTACGTGCACGCACACTTGAGCATAAACTAAGACTAACCATCCTAGGTAAACATATTATTGTGATTTGTTTTTATAAATTAAACTATTTTCTCTAGAATCTTCAAATAGAATTCTAACACTAAAAAAATATTTTTGGTACTTCACCTATAAAATAATTGAAAACAATTCAGAACGAATTGGACTCCACAAATTAGCACTGTATCAAAATTGAACAACAGCTGGATTTAATTTACAATGAATATGAAGTATTTCGATATCAAGAGGAAGTTTTAGAGGAAACCTTTAATAAACTGAAAAGTTTTGAACAGTTGTTAAAAAGTCTTTATTTAATTCCACTTCAACTGCTGGAATCGATATATATTTCACTTTTTTTTTTACCTCACATTTCACAAACTGCAGGAAAATCACAATTTTTCGTAATGAATTTCAATTATCTAACCATTTCCCCCCTTACAGTGTGCTTAAGAATTCTACGCAGGTATTTATAAAACAGATGAGTCATTAAAGAATTTAGAAATATCCGATACACATATAAATGGTACATTTGGCAACTAGCCTTGGATACTTCTGATAGTTTAGCTTGTCCTTCATTCTCAACAGCCTCTACAAAAATAACTTCTAATGAGTTCTTGTAAAAAAACTCACATCTTACGTGACAGTACCAAACCGTACATCTACTTGGCAGCATACCCGATATTACAGGCTTGCCAAAAACAGTGTAAGGTTTTTCTAACACTAAAATGATTATGGAGCACAATAAACTTTGAGTATTAAATATCTTTCCTCAAGTTATTGTAAGTTACTTGTTATGTCAAATAACATCACCATCTGTTACAAAAGATCTCATTATTTGAAGTCTACAAATGGTGATGCAGAAAAGATAATATTGTATTAACATTTTAATAAAAAACGTAGCTGATTAAGTTTCAATGTTTATCGGTTTTGTTAACTAAAAAAAAATTAAATTTCCCAGGATTCAACAGTATTTACAAATTAGTGCCTTAAGTACCCACACAATAACCTTTAGAAATTCCGAAGAGACATTCTCTACGGAGCTAAGATGGTTAAACTACTTTAATTGTACATAAATTAGATACCTAATAACTTATATATAAAACAAAAAAATCACTGCTATGTAGATGTTCGTTATCATACAGTCAATAAAATAAAACCTCGTGAAAAGAGAGAAATGTTTTCTAGCTGGGAGTGAAAATAGAAAAAATAACTATACCTCATCTTCAAAACTTGTATGTGGTTGCAGCTGCAGCTCCGGACGTATAAAATTCTTTCTGGAGTAGAAAATATCCTGAAATATAGTAATATATTCATGCCTTCATTTATAAGTCTTTGAATACATTCACTAATTCTGTTGGTGTATATCGGAAGATGCAAATAAAACTATCCATCTTTCACTAATGAATTATCTGTTTTGAAGCCAATAAATGTGACAGCTTGGAGATCAATCTTAAATTATTACACGTCTTACTATTTTTCTGATGAACATTACTCCAAATTAGTGGGATTAATTGTAATATTTGTTTAAAGCTCCTTGCATGAATCTATAGCCAACAGCAGTGGTTACCTAACTAGTTCAAAAAAGTTGATACACTTTGCTAGAGACACCAATAGTAATTCTAGGGTTAACATAGTAAAAAAAAAGTACAATTTATAAATGTAATTTTCTTAGGGTAGGTGCAAAGATTGCACTTGTTA